GCAAGCTCCCAGGCTACATCCGATCTCGGGAATGACATCAGTAAGGTTATGAACCATGCCTTCCCTGTCTATAATGCTGTTGAGAAGGCTGCAAACACACTTGATGATCTTGTCTACAAGGTCAACACCAGTGTCAATACATTTGGACAAAATGCACCATTTGGAGTTCAGTATCCCAAAAGAATACCCCACCACCTTCCTGCACCTTGACAATCTCTTATTGCAACATTCCTGGTCCAAAAGGAAGATTGCCTCCACTGTATGGTCTCATGAGGAATGGGAGAAGAGGAAATGCCTCATCTGCAATAAACAATACATTGGGCGCAAAACCATTGGATTGCGTCAGAGGCGCGGGTTCGGCCAATTCTACTGTGTTGTTCATAAGAGCCTGGTATAGCGCTGAATCTTGAAATGTTCCCCCGTCGCTGTGTTTCCCATATCCACCCACGTCGACTGCAATGAATCTATATTGTGCATCAACTGCAGCTTGTACAACTACGGAGTAATACTTTTTATAGTTAAAAAACATAGGTTCTCTGTTTGCGGGGCACTTCCCTCGGATGTGCTTCCCATCAACTGCCCCCTACGCAGTGTGGGAATTTCCATATGTCAAAGAAAACGGAGGCTATAGTTTTGAAAGTTTCAACAGCTGGGACTGGCATATGTTGAGTATGAAGTTCATCCCAAAGAATGTCAACAGTTTCGGAGACAATAGCAGCAACAGTAGATGCACCCATCCTGAAACCAAAGGCGAGGGCCTGGAATGATGATCCGGTAGCCAGATACCTGGAAACAAAGTACATTCTGTTCATGTAAAATGAATTGCAAATACCTGTAAAATAATGCTTATTTCAGTTTTATTCACTTTTCCAGGATCTACTCTGCGGAAAAAGTGGAAGTATCAGCGGGACAACTTTTTCTGCAGAGTACAGAAAGCGGCCCGTCAGTCGATCTGGCGACGGCGCCGACAACTACCCTCTGTCAAAATGAATACATTTCAGATCATTGCTTTTTCTTAAAGACATTGTTGCACCTAGGGCCTGCTCTGGCTCTATCGAGTCAACAGTCAACACCACTGCCAGCAACACCAAGTGGCACATGCACTGAACAACCTCTACTTTACATTGATTATGCTGAAGCTGGGTAAAGTGTAATACTAGATCTAGAGTCAATCCTCGTAGAGGGCAGCGTGGCTACAGAATCACCAGAGTCGACTGAGCAATTTCCGGCCACCTTGGAAAGCGTCATGGAGGAAACAGATGGGAGGCAAGTTCAGTTTACTGGTGGCGCTGGTACTTTCCCCAAAACCTCACCAACTTCCCGGGCGATGAAAAGAAAGAATCGACAGGATGACCACTACTAGCAGAGAATTTGTGATATAGAAGAGAGAAAATTACAGTACCTATTCGACAAACAGGCGAGGAAAAGAGACAACGAGGATGCTGATACCGACTTAATGTTCTTGAAGACACTGCCGCCCCATATCAGACTGATACCGCAGCACATAAAGCTGAGATTTCAAAGTAAAGTGCAGACAGTGATCGAAAAATTTGCCAACAGTAACAATCAGAATTTTTCTCACAAATTAATTAACGTGCTTACAGAATCACCCTATCAGAGCTACTCTACATCATGTTCACCATCACTTTCTCATTCCCCTTCTCCAACCGCTTCATTTAATTTTGCACAACAGTTGAGACACTGATAACAAACAATAGTATTGATGAAATGTGCGAGAAATGACTTCCACTTTTCATTCATTCTATTTTTTTCTCTTTTCGTATTAGGTTCAAATCACATTATATACATTATAGGCCTATATCAGCAAGGTATGGTTTGACAAGGAAATTTTCTTTCTTTCTTTCTTCCCTCTTATCTGTTGGTTGGACATCCGCAAACAACGTAGTCATTTTTTGGGGTAAAGATTTTATAAAATAACCGTAGACCTAATTGAATATTTTTTAAATCAAAGGTTCATTTAGAATTATGATTTTTTACACCAAAAATTCAATTGATTGAAATAAAATATTGGATAATGCGTGTAAGTTATGGTAGTGGTAGGCTACCATAACTATGATTAATGTTAATAAGGTAACATAATGTCAGGTGTAGATCTAGAGGTATGGTATCATCTATCAACATTATTTTAAATTGTAAAACGTGGCCATTTTATCAATTATTAGTTATATCGGGATTTCAAAAATAAAGTACTGGTCTTGAAGTGCATGTATTTCTTTTTTTTTTCGTTTCTATGTAACATGCAAACGTACAGAAAGCATCGTGTGTCCTGATTCTTTAATCAAGACTAAAATATATCTAATATAAAATATACTGGCGAGCAAAAGAAAGTAGGCAGTTTTCGAATCGGTGCTGTATGAGTAGTCCAGTGAATTTTGACTTGGCGATTGACATGCTGACCTTGAGTGACTTTAGAAAGTCAGTCAGAAAAACATTTGTTTATTTTGTTGTTGTAAAAAGTGTTTACAACATGTTTGGCCTA